CCCTCCATGCTGCCCGTGCCCAAGAGCAAGCGGCGCCACCACCACGGCCACCACCACCGCAGCCGCCGCAGCGCCAGCGAGGACCCGTCGTGCTCGTCGTCGCTGCTGGACAACATGCACTTGCACAACAACAACCTCAACAACAACGTGGACGACAAGACGAGCAAGACGCGGCGCAACGAGCGCGTGTCCCGGCGCAGCCAGCACCACGCCGTGCAGCACGCCGTGCAGCACCTCGCCGAGCAGGACGAGACGGCCGACGCCGTGGAGCTGCCGCTGCCGCCGCTGCCCGTCCTCAACGACAACGACGAGTACCTGCGCCAGTACCGCCGGCACCACAGCGCCGCGCCGCGCCTGCAGCACTGCAACAACAACAACATCGACAACAACAACGGCACCCTGGAGCTGGACAAGGTAGCCGCCATCTTGTTTGGGCGCCGCGGTGCGCGCACTAAGGAGGGGGCGGGGGCATCGATTTCGCTGGGGCTTTTGGGCGTGCGTCGAAGGGGACGTCGGCACATCCAGGGCCTGTGGGGCCGCCTCCGCAGAGGCCCCACTGGTCCAGGGCTGGGCCACACTGGGGTGCCTGTGGAGGCCCAATCACTGGATGGCTGACCAAGTGTGAGCCAGCGTGCCTATTTGGCGCCTGCTGGGCTCTGGTAGGCCACCCGATGGGCCAAGTGGAGCGCGTTGCCTACCTTGGGCCTGCTGGCTCTGGGTAGCCACCATGGCACCCAAGTGGGCGCGTTTGCCTACCTTGGCGCCTGCTGGGCTCTGGGTAGGCCACCCGATGGCGCCAAGTGGAGCGCGTTGCCTACCTTGGCGCCTGCTGGGCTCTGGGTAGGCCACCCGATGGCGGCCAAGTGGAGCGCGTTGCCTACCTTGGCGCCTGCTGAGTTCTCTCTCGCGCTCATGGGGCGTCCCGTTTAGGTGCGAGAGGGACAGCGACGAAAACGCGTCTCCGAACCAGTCTACTGGAGGTTTAAGTCTGCTTGTCTGAACCCGAGGCTGCCTTTGGCTGCCATGCCTCCTACCAGCCCCCCCCCTCCCTTTTCCCCTCTTCCGCTGTCCCTGGTTTACTACTGCTCTCTGCGCTCGGCTCTTGGCCCAGTTTTCTATCATAAACGTTTGGCGTCGTTGTGTTTACCCCCCGGCCACTGCGCGGGGACGAGGCCTTCCGGCCAAACACGGCCCGGTACACCAAACAAAATCCCGGGGGGAGCAACAGCTAGCGCAATCATGTGCACACCGAGACATGAAATCGAGCAAAAACTCGTGTGGAAAATTATCTGGCAAAATGAAGCGCAGGCATCCGAAATCAAACGAAAACCGGAACGATCAGGCAGAATCACACGACATCGGGTCTCGTCCAAGCTGCCCGTCGATGGCGGCGGGGAGCGTGAAGCAGCATGTGAAGCACAGTGTGTCGCGCGCGGGCCCCGGCCGGGCCGTGGCATTCCCTTTCCCCTCCAACGAGACCGAAAGACTAGAGTAATTGGAAGTGGCTTTTTTAGCCGCAGCGCTGCAGGGGCATGCAGGGGCTTGCAGGGGCTTGCAGTGCAGGGCTCTGCGTTGGGCTGGCAGCGCGCCAACAGTGATGCTGCTGCTGCTGCTGGAAGGGCGGCCTGCTGATCCTCGGCAGCGTTCGGCTTCGGCCAGGCTTCGGCCAGGCCTGCCAACTCGTGCCCCTTGCTGCAGGCTCGAGAGCTCGAAGCTCGAACTCGAGGCTCGAACTCGAAGCTCGAACGCAACGCGGCGCGGAAAGGCCGCGGCAAAGAAGACTCTCTCCTTCTCCGGAGCCGAAGCCCACGGCAGAAGGATGAGGATGAAAGGGGTTGCGGTGCCGCGGAGCAACGAGATTCCGAGAGTCTCTCTCGCACTCATGGGGCGTCCCGTACGGGCGCGAGAGAGACAGAGCGGCTTTTGGAATCGGTTTTCAGTACCGCCGTACTGGTTGATGAGTCTGCATGGCGGCGCGTATGGCGCGTTCTCGGCGGCCAACGCGTGCCAACTTTCCAAACTAATTAATCAAAGCGCTCGCTGTCGCACCGCACGCACGCCTGGGCCGTGGTGTCACTGCCGAGCGGTTCCGAAGAGCGGTTTTGTCGCCCTGTCTCCCTCGCACCCACACGGAGAGCCCCATGAGTTCGACAGAGACAGGACGACGAAACGACTCTTTGAACCGCTCGGCTGGTGTCACTGCACTGCGAGGCCTTTAGCCAGCGATGGCTCTGTCTGGGGCTGAAAATAAACTCGCGAGGCTCACTGTGTGTGTGTGTTCGTGCGTGTGTGTGTGCGCACGCGCTCTCTGCGAGGACGTGCGTGCGTTTAGTGTCTGTGTTGCTCGTTGCTATGCAACTGTGCGTGTGTGTGTGTGTGCGTGCGCGCACTTGTGTTTGTGTGTGCAGTGTCTGTGTGTGTGTGTGGAAAGGGGGGGGGGTAATTAGCTGCAGTCCCTGCCAGCCTTGCCAGACTGCGCTCGACTGTCAACTGTCTGGAAAGTGGGTGCCTAAATCGCCTGGCGGGGCCCCGGCAGGGCCAAGAGGCCCACCCACAGCCCAGCGGACACGTTTCTTGCCACCGACGGAGTATCTGTCCGATTCACGTTTCACTTTCACCACGTCGAATCTTTTTGGCGTCCGGAGCTGCCGGCATCAACCATAGCTACAGGCACTGAAAAGCCTTGGTTCCTGTCGTCAAATCTTTGATTGCTTCGATGGAACCCGTGAACTCTGAAAGCAAAACTCGAACAGTCTCGTAACAAGTCTGGTCCCCTAACAACGATCCATTTCATTTCTCTCGGCGGGCGGCTCTGCCCTGCCCTTTGTCGATCAACTGGAAACCCTAATGTTCTCGGGCGTTCCTAAATGTTTTTTCGCGTTGAATGTGTGGGGCGACGTGCTGTCCACACCAGTGGTGGCGGCGCGCAGACGCCGTGTGGGGGGGGGACAGAGGCCGTAAATACAATTTGGGCGCAACGCACAGCGAGAGCGACGTGGGGCCACGCCCCGCCCTGCCCCGGTTGGAGTGATCGGAGGGGACTGACTGTAAATCGCCATCGCTGCTTCTTGGGAAGGGGAAGGGGCTCGGTAACGTACTTCCAGACCAAATTTCACGTTTGGGGTGGCCACATTTGCTAAAGGTGCTTAAGGTGCCCCCCCTTCTATAGTCAGCTGCGCTAGGGTGTCTCACCGTCCAAAACTGCAGACGAAGCGAGCTGTGAGGGCGCGCGGGTACGCAGCATGTGTTTGATGTTGGGGTGAAAGTGGAGACGGTCGAGACGGGAAGCCCCGTACCGTGCCGGCCGCACCGCGGAAGCGCTCGGTTCGGTTTGGTCGTGGGGGCGACGACGGCAGGGATGAGTCAAGTCGGTGTGAGGTGGGCGTTGTTGCTGGGCGCGCAAACATCACTCTTTTGCCACGAACGCGTGCTCCGTCTCGGACACGACGCGGCTGGCTGACGGCCTGCCTGGCGGGCTGGGCGGGCTGGGCGTGTCCGGGGGCAGCGCGCCCTTGCGCCCTTCGCGTCCTCGGCCAGCCCTTGGCGGGGCCTCGGCGCCTCGCCCCTTGGCGTGTCGCGACTCATTTTCGGTTTGAGCCACCCCCTTGGCCTACGGTTTGCCCTGCGCCTCGTCACACCCCACCGCCACGCCACGCACCGCGACGTACACGCCGAGGGGAATGCCGATGCAAGGGGTGGGGCGGGGCGGGCGCGGCGCCCCGACCCTGAGCCCCGTGCCGGCTCCGGCAGTGCACGCCCCTGGCACGCCCCTGGCACGCCCCTGGCACGCCCCAAGGGTTGCAGCAGGCTCGCGAGCCCCTGCGCCGACCCTCGCAAAACAGCCCTCGGCGAACTCGGCCTGCGGGACCTGCAAGAACGTGACGCACTTAGTGGCGGGGCCGGGGACAGCCGGGGACGGCCGTCGGCGTACTCGGGGCACTGCAAGCGCAGGAAGGAAGGGACAGGAGGTGCACTTCCCCTCTCTTTCCTTTTGCCAGTCGTTCCGTTGAGTGGCTGATTCAATTGAGACAATTCCTGCCGCTGCAGCGCGCTGCAGGCAAGTGGCGGATGCGTAAAAAGCAAGCCAGAAAAGACGCCGCGCCGCGTCGCGTTCCAAGGGGCGGGGCGAGGTGGGGGGCACAGCCTTCGGGGTGCTTCGGGGTGCGAGTGAGACAGAGGCCCGGCTCCCGGCTGCGCTTTATTCACGTTTCCCGAGATTAGTCGATGTGAGTTGGGGGAACGAGAGATGCAGGGATCCGCCATCCGCCGAGCGCGCGGCCGGAAGACCGGAAGTAGCGGCGTTTCATCTCCTGCGCCCTACGGTGCCCTACGGCCCGGCCCATGAGTGCGAGAGAGACAGCGACGAGACCACAACGGACGTCTTGGGGCTTGGCTTACTCTTACCATGGGGGTACAATACATTTAAACGATCAGCCCATGCTCTGACTTCCCTCTGCTTGCCTACCGCTGTCTGCCTGTCCCCCTCCCCACCCTCCCCTCCTCTCCTTTCCCCTCCCTGCCCCTCCCCTCCGGTGGCGCGGTGCCGGCGCCTTCCGTCTGCACCGGCCGGGCCGCTCGGAGTCTCCCTTCACTCCACTTCCACTTCGGGCCGCTGATGATCGTCATGTGATTCCGCCCCTTGCAGTGTAGTGACAGAGTGACAGCTCCTGGAGCCATGATCCTCGACCAAACCGGACAAGTGCCGACACAAGCAGAGCGCCCTGCCAATCAAACTGAAGTGAGTGTGGCTGGGCAGCTGGTCCCCCAGGCCGCCTTAGAGGTTATGGGGTCTTTGTTTACGTTTTGACAGTGGTGAATTCGATAGTTTCGCGTCGCTCTGTTGCTATTTGCGCGGTGTGTTTGGTCCGTTGGCACTGCGGCTAGGACTTTTTCGCAGGGGGGTTCGGGGACTGCACTGTGCTGATGGTTGTTCCCTCAGTGTTTGTGGTTTACTGGCACTGGTTGCACCTGTCTTGATGTTTTCGTGATGTTTGTTGCAGGTGCTAGTTCAGAATGGAGGAACTGGAGGAGATCTCGGCAGTGAGGTGACAGGAGCTGCCAACATCTTCGCTCAACTTGGCCTTGCCCTCAACCTGCGACCTACCTCTCTTAACGGTGCCAACACTGGCACGGAAAATAAGCAAAGCAATACGATGCACCTTTCTAAGGAGCATGTCGTTGAGGTCAAAGAAGAAGATGAACGGCGAACATCACCAGAAGTAAGCTTGCCGTTTATGTTTTGGATCATTATCAAGAAGTACAAGTTTTCTTTTCAATGTCTTTTTAACGTGTTGGGTTCAAAATCTTTTGTCACTAATAGCAAAATCTCTCCCTTTCAGGCAAGCGACAAGAAAAACTTCTCAGACTCTGAGGAGGAGAACTTTGACAAAACTGTAACACAGATGACAAGCAGTGCAACTCAAACTCAAGCGGGAACACCGGGTACTCCCACTGATCCTCACAATGTAGCAGCTGCTGGTGACAAAGAAGCAACTGCCACTGCTTCGATTTACAACAGTGCATGGCCACCCGTTGACCCTTCGCTTTGGCATTCAGGCCCAAGCAGCCTGGGTGGCCCACCCATGTCTTCCTCCAATGGACGCTTCCACTCGGTATGTTTTTCTTCAAATACTCATCTATTTGTGATTGCCCTTTGATTTTGTAACTATTTTGTCTTTCTGTGATGTGCAGGACAACACAAGTGTGATGAGTGCATCTTCTAGTGTAGCCTCTGGACCATCACCCCTGACTGGCCTTGCTCGCCGAGTCCACAGCCAGCAGCAGCTTGGTGCCAAAGTAGAGATGGTCTATGGATTGCTGTCCATGCTTGGCACACATGACCGTCAGGATATGAGTCGAACTCTGCTTGCCATGAGCTCTTCGCCCGACAGTTGTGTTGCCATGAGGCAGTCAGGTAAACCTGCCTGTTAGCTGTTGTGTCCTTCTAGGTTTAGAAGTACTGCCATTATGTGATATTAATACATGTCTTTAAAATTCAGGTTGTCTTCCACTACTAGTCCAATTATTACATTCTTCTGAGCAAGATGCTGATACCCGAAACAGGGCAGCACAGGCCCTTCATAATATGGTTCATGCTCATCCAGATGAGAAACGAGGCAGACGAGAGACTCGTGTCCTCAAATTGCTAGAACAAATTCGATTGTACTGTGATTCACTTCGGAGCGGCCAAGATCAAGAAATCATTTCTTCAAATTCAGGTATGATAATTGCTCTCTCCAAGGTTCATTAGTCTCTAATACTCTAATAGTTTAAGAAATTTAAATCAACTTTTCTCAGCAGATGATGGTGATAAGCATCCTGGGCAAACCATAGCAACTCTGATGAAGTTGTCATTTGATGAAGAGCATAGACATGCTATGTGTCAGCTAGGAGGACTATATGCCATAGCCCAGTTAATTCAGGTGAGCTTAGGAGCATCACTCAATTCAACTTGAGTCCCTTGCAAAAATTATTTTTAACTTTTCATCTTTATGGTATGTCATTTTATTTATTCATTCATTTTTATTTTTTTGTTGTTTGTTCTAGGTGGACCATGAGGCTCATGGCAGCACTACAAATGACCAAAATTGTGTAACTCTACGCAGATATGCTGGGATGGCATTAACTAATTTAACATTTGGGGATGGAGTGAACAAAGCCCTGCTTTGCTCCTTCAGAGAATCCATGCGAGCTCTTGTTGCCCAACTTGCCTCTCCAAGTGAGGACTTGCGTCAGGTCAGTCTGAACATCTCTGCATCCTTTACTGGATAAATTGATTTGTTCTGTAAACCTGTGTTCTAAACACGAATTTTTGTAGGTGACTGCATCTGTACTACGGAATCTTTCGTGGAGAGCTGATTCTCAAAGTAAACAGACACTTCGGGAGGTTGGAGCAGTTACAGCCCTTATGTGCTCAGCTATGGAAGCCCAGAAGGAGTCTACACTGAAGTCAGTTCTCTCTGCTCTGTGGAACCTTTCAGCTCACTGCAGTCTGAACAAGGTACAGTTTTACACCTCAAATAGTCATTGAATTGTTCGTCAGAAATACATAGTGAACCGATTGACTTCTTTCCATTCAGGTTGATATTTGTGCTGTTGAGGGAGCTTTAGTGTTCCTCATTCAGATGTTGAGCTACAAAGCACCATCAAAAACTCTGGCAATCATAGAAAATGCTGGTGGCATTTTGCGCAATATATCTAGTCATGTGGCTGTCCGTGAAGACTACAGGTAAATTGGTTTATTTGTTGATACCCCAGGACTGTGAAATATCTGACTGGCACCTTACCTATATAATTTTCTTTATGTTTGATTTTAGATCTATTCTGCGCGAACACAATTGCCTGCAGGTACTTCTGCAGCAGTTAAAATCTCCTAGTTTGACTATTGTTAGCAATGCATGTGGAACTTTATGGAATTTGTCTGCTCGATGTCAAGAAGATCAAAGAACATTGTGGGCATTAGGTGCTCCTAATATGCTTCGTAGTTTGGTAAGTATCCCTTTCCTAAGGTAGTTCCATGACATGTTCTTTGGAGTATGTACTTCATGGTAGTTGGAGTGGGACAATCTGCTAATTTCTCTTTTCATTATTGCAGGTTCACTCTAAGCACAAAATGATTTCAATGGGATCGAGTGCAACTCTTAAGAATCTATTGTCTGCCAAACCAGAAAATGATGATTCTTGCTTTCGCCATTTGGACTCCACCGCCCGAAGTCTGGGTTTGCAGAGTTTGCCAGGACTGTATGCAAGGAAGCAAAAGGCGTTAGAACAAGAACTTGATCAAACTTTGACAGAAACATTTGACAACATTGAGCCATCCACATCTCCTTCAACATCCACTGTTGGCTTGAGAGATGATAAATTTGTATTTTCATTGACAGAGCGGGATATTTTCCGTCAACGAGCTCAGCAACCATTACCTCTTCATAAGCCTACAACTAAAATTCGACCCAATGCAGTTTCCCACTCTGACAGCAAAGAGTCTGTCACTAGTACACATTCAGATTCAGTGTATGAGCGTCTGATGAGAACGGGGACGAGTGACAGTCCGTCAAGAGATGATAGAAGATTGAACTCAAGCATGAGTGATTCAGGTAGAACTGGGTCTGAAGCGGGAAAGTCTGATACAAGAACTGTGTCAGATCGTAAGTTTCTCCAAAGATATCTAAACAATCTGAACTCAACAGGAACTCCAAATGGAAAGACCACTGCTGTGGTTTCTATGAATGTCTCTTCTGACCAGAATCAGAACAATGTCAACATGAATCTTCTTGAGAATGGTGTTGCTGGTATCAAATTGGCGGAAGAAAACCAAGATGTGATTCCAAAACGTCAAGCTTGGGAGGAAACTGCAGGTGAAGGAAAGCAGCCTCTTTCTGAAAAAGAAGAAATCAATGCCTCAACCTCTCTCTCAGAAAAGGAGGAGGCTGTAGAATGTGCTTCATCCTCTAACTTTAATAACAACGACACACTGAACGCAACCACATCCACTCCTGTTGCTGCAGCAAGAACTAGAGTCCCAAAAGCACATCCTTATGTGCCGGTTCGTAACAAATTCCTGGAGTCTGGTGTAGAAGAAGACTTGGAGAACCCCAGCCAAGACAAACCTATTGACTTTGCCCGTCGCTATGCATCTGAGGCTGAGCCAGTCCCAGAAGCAGAGCCGCGAGCTGCAAAAGCGGAATCGAAGAATGGAAACAAGGAAACTGTTGTTTATGGTGACTATGCAGAAACTGATTTAGACCAGCCTACTGACTACAGTTTACAGTATGGTGAGGAGGATGATGAGCTTTCAGATAGTTTTGAAGCCCAGGAAATCCCCATATCCATTCATGAAGATTCAGTGAAGATGTATTGCACCGAGGGGACTCCTTATGAAACTCCTTACAATTTCTCCACTGCAACGTCACTTTCAGACCTTCGAATTGAGCCTCCTGTCAAAGAAGAAAATGATAAGGAGCTTAAGGCAGAGGAAGAAGGTACTAGTCTTGATCTGAAGGAGTTATCAGCACCTGAGATAAAAACTGATGATCCAAAAATATTAGAAGTTGACAATGTTGTCGAGTCTGGTTCAATTTCTCCAGTTGAAAAGCCAGTGCAGTTCTGTGATGAGGGCACACCTGGTGTGTGCATGTCACGTTTTGATTCTCTTAATTCTCTAGATAAAATTGAGCAAGTTGTTGATGAAATTGATGGTAAAGTAGTAGAGTCCACTGATAAGCCCGCTGACAAATGTGAGTCAAATGCTGGAGCAGCAACTCCCCCAGGCACTCCTCCTAGACATCAAGAAAATCAAGGGCAAAGCCAACATCAGGAAGGTTTGTATTTTTCATTATTTCATACATGTGTTTCTAACCACAAATACATGCTTCAACAATCATTTACCGGTAACTTTTTCTGTTGCCCCTTACAGCAAGCAAGATCCCAAAGATGAATTCCGACCATCACTATGCCGAAGAAACTCCCCTCATGTTTTCTCGGGCGAGTTCCTTGGGGTCATTGTCTAGTTATGAACAACAGTCAATATTGGATGATCGTAGTTCTGTTGTGAGCGAGTTTTCTCGTTTAACAAGTGGGGTTGTTTCACCAAGTGAACTTCCAGACTCACCTTCTCAACTAGTACCTGCTAGTCCAAGGCATCCTAAGGCTCCTGTTGAATTCACAAACCGCCTTTCTGATGCTGGGAGTTCACCATTAAGGGTGCCTCCTGCAAGATTCACAGGTATTGTCTCCTGTTCTTTTGTTTTGTATACTGTGTTGCATCACTCCTTCCAAGTTTTGTGAAAATTAATGTGCTATCGTTTTGATAGGTTCGACCCGCCCTTTGGCCCACCCCATTGTGGACAAAGCTGCTGGGAACAGTGTTTTTGAAGATGAAATGGCTGATTACAAGGTGGAAGACACCCCTCTGGAATTCTCCAGAGCAACTAGTCTCAGCTCTTTGTCTATTGATGATGAGCCAAGAGATGTCAAGGTAATTTATTTCTCTTGCACTTTTTATTTGCATCAGGTTTATTTCACAACCTCTGTATCTTTCATGAAAACTTTTTTGTGTTTAGGATGGTCCATCTAGATCAGGCCGAAGTAGCATGAGCAGAGATGAGGGAATGGAGAAAACGGATGTGGAGAAGGAGCTTGCCCTTGTCAGTGAAGGTGAAGAGAATGAAGACGAAGATGAGGACATTTTGGCTGATTGCATTAATATCGGCATGCAGAATAGCAGGTAGGCACTGTTTTCAAAAACACTCATAATCCACCTGCTACATCATTTTTCAAATATTTTTTTCTTTTCTTTCTCAGGAGCAAACAATCCCTGTCCAACAGCCAGCCAAAATTGCTTGCATCATCTCAACAAAACGCAGCCAAGCCACTGTCACTTCGACAGCCCATGGCCGCTGGCGCCACAGGCCCTGGAGTCCCAAGGCGTCCGACGGCCATCCCCAAAGCCAGAGGCATTCCTGTCTCGACTGGGATTCCCGTTAAGATCCCTGTGATGACGCGCAAGGCTGGGGCCGGGGCCGGGGCGCCCTCCCTGACTGTGACTCCAGGGGCGTCGTCCTCGCGAGGCGCCTCCCCAGCCACGGCCCGGTACGCGGCGCCCGCCAGGAGCCACAGCGCCCCCGGCAAACAGCCCAACGAGGTGAGCAGTCTTGCCTTGCCACATCAGGGAATGACATGACCAGTGTGACTCAATGTGTAGATCCAAGTTGTATGAGTGATTTTAATAAATTTTCATTTTTTTTCTCTTTTTTACGTAGTATATATTGAAGCATTTATGAAGTAGTTAGTGCACTTTTGTAGGAACTCTATTAGAGTGGTTTCACTCCTATCTTAATGTGCTTTTATTATTGTTCAGTTTTAAGCGCTTGTCAAGCAATAAAACAAATCGTTTCAGGGAATTTTGTTCAAATGAACCCCAAGTTAACACAGTTTCAAGTAGAATCTTTCTTAGACTTGATTTTTCAGGTGTATGTGCTGCTTTCTCTCCAGTTTCTAGAACTGAGAAAGAAAGCAGTTTGATACTGTCCAATGTCCTTTGTTCTTAATACTCTGCCCCTTTGGAAGCAGCCACGAGACCATGTGTGCTTATGCTTTCCTGTAAATTGCAGTCCAATGGAGTGTGTGAGGATTCCATGTATCGCTACTGCACGGAGGGAACACCTGCAAATATTTCTCACGCCGGCTCGCACTCTGACCTGTCAGTTTTGTCCTTCCCTAATGAGGGTGATGAGGAACTTCACCTTGACCATACTGGCACAGAGTTGTCTGACGACAGTTCTACATTTTCGGGTGACAATGAGGGCATTCTGGCAGAATGCATACAATCTGGCATGCCAAAGGTTTGCTTTCTTTTTAACATGCTATTTGCTTTGCTGTTTATTATTTAGAGCTGTATTTATTTTATCTTGAGTGATCTTATTTTATGCATGAAATAATGAAGTACTAGACTATTCCAATGTATAGCTTATTAATTGCATGATTATTTCTGAGTTATTTGAAGTTTAATTTTATGTTTTCAAAAAGTTACAAATTACTTATAAGGCATTTCATTCTTTAAGAACTATTGTAAGACTATCTTTCTGTGGTTTTCACAGGCTAAATCTGATTCAGTCAGCAGTCTGCCTCATTCGTCAAATGCTGGAGCAGCATCCAAGAGAGCTAGTGTTCCTAATACTTCAATGGCTGCTCGTCGAGTTCCATCAGCTAGTCCCAGTGGATCAGTGAAAAGTCAACAGAACCAAGTTACAAGCACTACATCTGCCAACCGAAATGTAAATGGTAGTCCTCAAAGGAAACCAAATGTGAACAACAGTCCTCAACGTACTTATTCCCAGGCAAGTCCTCAGCGGTCTCCTCAACGCAGTTTAGCAGGCCCCCGCAAGGTACTTTTAAATTTTTTTTGTTTTGTTTTTGTTGTGCTTATGCTATGCTTGAGCTGTGATACATTGTCTACATGTTGTATTAACTGTGTTAACTTTTTTTTTGGTAGCCTGCAACTAGTGCTCCCAAACCAACAACAAGAACAGGAGCTAGACCTTCGACATCTACCCCTGTTTCATCCCCTGCAAATGGACCTCGCACTCCACTCACACCACCGAGGCAGCGGCAAACGGGAGGGGCGCGCATTGTCAGAGCCGTCAACAGGAATGTTTATCCTGGTGGACGAGTGTATGTGTCAGACTGTCCTCTTGTTGCAATTTTAATTTTTAACTTATTATTACTGTTGTGGTGATTGACTACATTGATTTTCAATTTCTATGCAGGCCTCAAACTCAGGATTCTTCGAGTGGTCAAGTCGGAATGTCACATCCAATTCCATCTAATGATGAAATGGTTCAGTTTTCATGTGAAGACAGCCCATGCAACTTTTCATCCAGATCATCTCTAAGTGACCTCACTATTAATTCATCAGAGTACAGGTTTGTTTTTGAATGTGTTTTGTGAAGAAAGCTGAAAGAAAGCCAACCTGAAGCAAAACTGGTGAAAGTTTCATTGCATTCCCTCAAATTGAAATTGCCTGGTGTTGCTTGATTCTCTCATCAGCAGGCCATCACTGCGTCACCTGCCATCAGAAGGACCAGCCAGTGACAGTCACCTGTGTTTTGCAACCGAAGACACCCCTGTGGAGGGATCGTATGCACCATCTCTCAGCTCACTTGGTGTTGATGATGACTTGGAACCACCAGTTATAAATATGAGCGGTAAGGTGTCTGTAATAGTTCTGATCAAAAAATTATGTGTTATTTTTAGAAATCCTGTTCATAAATTTGCATTTTATTTTTGTCTAGTGATGAGGAACGCTCCCAACCTTCGGGCCCTTCTTTGCATGCCGGAAGGATGCAGCTCGGATGAAGCCACACCACCTTCTGGGGCTGCAGCATTGGCGTCTTCTGACAGCAGTGACAAATTCTCTGATGGGATGTCTGATAGGATGTCTGACAAACAGCGACCTAACCCTAGTCAGAGCTCAGCTTCAGAGGAAGTTGTTACTGTTCTTTCCAGAAATACATCTCTGAGTTCTTTAAGTGTTGAGAGCCTGGGTTCTTGTGAAGCGGAACAAGCACTTTTGGAGCAATGCATCAGTTCTGGCATGCCCAAAAGCCGAAGCAAGAGCAGTGATGTTAGTGCAAAGAAACCTGCATCAAAACTGCCTTGCCTTGTTGACCGAGGAAATAGGTCTAGATTGCCGGTATCAGCAAGACAAGAAGAAAAGTCACCTGTAGAAAAATCTTCCAAGAGTGCTTGGACTGCTGAGTCATCCAGTGAACAACAATTAGACAGGGAGCGGCCAAGATTCAACAGTGAAGCACTATCTGACTCAGGAAACAGTGATAAACTGCCTGAAGAACCAGTCTGCCAAGGCAAAAAATTCAACTTTGTGGAGGATGTTGATGTTATGAAAGAAAGCGCAACTAGCACTGGCACTTGGGCAGATGACTCTTCGCCAAATGAAATTTCTTGCCCAAGCGTAAGCATTACTGCTCCCACTGGAGCGTCTATCAAAAGTGAAAACTACCGTGAACTCTCCGATTTGGTTGAGGAAAACCATGATTCTGCAAGTGAAGCTCAAGATTTGCCGAGTTTGACTGATTCCTGGATGTTGGAAGCAGAAGCAACTAAAGTGGCTAGTGCTGTGATGGGCCATAGCCTTAGTAGTATAGATAGTATCCTTCCTCCTTCAGAAATGGGAAGTCTAGGTTCTCTTAGTCAAAGTTTTTCTGGTCGATCTCTTCCGCACACTCTTCTCAATAGAAATTGCAGCTCTAGGAAGAAGTCTCTTCCTTCAGCTCTCAACAACATGGTCACCAGTGATGTATCTGTTGAGTTCAATTTGTCTGGTAGTTTCACCTGTCACTTGGACAATGTTAGAGCTCCGTCTGTCCTAGATGAAATGGGTGATTCTGAAAACAGCTTCATGAGTATTGCAAGCATCACCTCTGAGGCAGCTGAAGTTGCAGCAGATATTGTCAAGGAAGGGTGTGCAGGGGACGCCACCTATGATATCGCCCGTCCGGCTGTTCCTTCAAAGAATGCCGGTTTAGTGGATGTGCATGACCAGCCGTCCACATATCATGAAATTACTGAACTCTCAACCGATCAGGACCTTACCCTGGAACCTGGAACTGAAACCATTGCCTCAGACAATGAACTCTACGACGAAGTAGCCGACTCAAAGACGCTCGAGGCTCCTGATCTACCCTGTGATAGTCAACGTACAACACCATCCAGCTCAGTGGAGTCATCGCCCAAAAAGGGCCTGACCCCGAAGCAACGACGTGAGGTTGCCCGTGACCGTTACCAAACGTACACCATCAGTTCACCAAGCTCTGAGCCCAAGCCCCTTACTGAAGAGAGTTTCGAAATGCAAGTGTCGCCCACTCCCAAGCAGAGGAGACAGATGGCTCGAGACCGTTATCAAACCTACACTATCAACTCACCTGTTAAACAAGGTGCAGATACTCATGAAAGAACTGCAAATGAAGTGAAGAAAAGTGCCACTGTTGGGGATGTGCCTTCTAATGCAGAGGCATTGCTAAAGAAACCTCGCATCACACCAAAGCAACGAAGGCAAGAGGATCGTGATAGATTTAGGACAAGGACCCTTGAAAAGGACTGCATTACTGGTAGCAATTAAATTACAGTCACATTTTCAAACAAAACCTACTTTACTTTGCAATGACAATATCTTGGGGCATTTGCCACTTGTTCTATTTATTCCGTAGTCTAATTTTTATCTTTTTCTTTCAATTATTGGGAAATTTTGCTGTATCATCTTGAAGGCACGAATAAAAAATGTCAGCAAGTTAATTAAATTTAGCTTCGCTGCACACTCATGTTTCGAGTGCCTCAATGGTTGGTTGAATGCGATGAAAGTGAAATTGCTAGTCATCTAAATAAGATGTTATTATGAGACGCTAATTTTGTGAACCTTAGTTTACAGTAATTATTTTACTGTGTAACTAATACTAATCTTCACTCATACCAACAGCTACAGTGTTATTGCTAATGGTGAGAAGTACTCTTGGCTATTGTTTTAGCCTGTAAAATGTTCAGAAAAGTAGTTGCCAATCTGTCTTGGTATGCAGCCGAGTATTCTGTCGAGTATGCAGCCTATTGCCTATCATCCAACTCGAAATCAAATTTTAAACATCCATCTTTTTACATATTTTTGCTGTGATATTTGCTATTTGTACTTAATTTTCAAGATCTTTCAAAGTTTCTTCAGGTTTTGAGTTGGTTTGGTAGTGCGAGTGCTATTGCATGTTTATGTACTTTTCATCAATCAGATGTTCTAAAATTGCCACTTTCATGATGTACTTCCAAGTACAATTGATTTGGATACTCTCTTGCATGTCTGCTCAGAGTCTATCCAAGTCACGGTATCGCCACCTTGACTTGAGCTGGGTTTGCCCTCTTTACATAAAATGACACATCTAAATGTTTTGCATATCACTTTTTTTGCCTCATACCACTTCTCTCTTACTTTTCATTACAACTGGTAACTTCAAATTACTGGTGTTTGAAATCGAAGCACCCAAAAGCCACAAATTTGAATAAAGCTCCTCATTCACAAGCTGTTGTGAACATCACCTAAAACATTTTTCAGTACTGTTATCCTAATTTAGACATATTAAATTCCTGTCATATTTGGATTGTTAAAATTCTATCGAAAGTCCATGAAGAGAAGAAGAGATGGGGCCTTTGGTAGTTCATTGTTATCTTCTTTATTGCACAAAGGATAAGTATTTGACATATCCAGTCCTGTTTGTTTATTCCCCAAACAATGTCTTTTCTTGCCATCCAGATTGTGACTTGCATGGTATTTCATCCATCCTACCTTAAACTTAGACGAGTCTTTCTAATCATGTCTCTTCAACCTCTCTTGCCATTATTTAAAAGTCTTTTCTTCCTTAAGCAATTTTTTGCCTAGCAAATAGTTAATAAAAAAGAATATTATCCTGTTTGCATGCATTATGTTGATTGAAATAGGGTGAAATGCTGTGTCTAACATTATATGACATGCCTTTAGACCAATGAGTGTGTTATCAGGTTTAATTCAGGGTTTATTGACCATGTTTCTATCGGTAAATTTGTTTTTCTCTGCTCTAAGTAGAAAAATGTTTAAACCTCTTTTTTCTATGTACTTGGAAATATGTGTCTAAGTGCTTGCTCTTAATTTCCACTCCATCCAATGTTTCTCCTTCTTGCCCATTAACAACAAAAATGCTATGAAGACAAAACTTATTGGCTGAGAAATAAGTCATACAACTTAGTTTAAAATCAAAATAATTTTGTTTCAGAACCAAGTTGCATTGCTCTTCCTGTACTTGCTTCTTATATATGTAGCCATCTGATTTTTGAGCTTTTGTAATCATGACTTTCTTCATTAGGTAATTTATTAATGTTCCGTGAAGTGTATATTTAATGTGTGTCCTGTAGGGGAGCGAGGTCTAGATATGTTACTTTAGAAACAAAATGTGCTGTATAAAGTAAGGTCCTTTTACTTGTAGACTGTAAACTTATTTGTATCCATGTTTTTGCTCTACAATTTTCCTCCATTTGTTTTTGTTGAAGCCTGAAAGTGACAAATTATGATAGACTTTTTATACTTAGTGTATATTTATGTTAAATATTTCCATTCATTTTGAATATTTGTTGACTGCTGTGGCTCTTCTTTTGTTGCTTACTAAGTTTTAGATTTATTTATGTGTACATGCAGAATCTTTGTGTCTTTTGTTTTTGTTTTTTTGTGGGGCTTCCGTTGGTTCTGTGCTTTTGCAAATGAATTGACAAACATTATGTAATTCCAAATTTTCTTTAAAACTGGCATTCATTTTGTTCTGTGTTGCTTTTGTTTCAAATTCCTCTTATTTGACCTTAAATTACTGCACTGTTTAGTTTTCCTTTTCCTTTTTGTTGTGATAGGGCCTTATACCCATTTAAGTCATGTTACCATTATTGAATGTTTGTCTGATTGTATTCAGAATGTGTATATTATGTAGTCTGTTACTAATCTATTCATATTCGTACTTGCTGTGGACTACTGTAGACAAGCTAACACTTTGCTTTAAAATAGTGACCCTATGTAAAGGATGACTGATATAGTTGAAAGCAGTGGTTTGAAAGTGCTAATTTGATGTTCAGAAAGAACAAGCCATTCCATTTGACAGACTCGTGTATGGAGGTGCATTTTTCTTGTTTCCTCCTAAGAGTGAGATTATGATGAGAAATATGTTATATACAGTGTATTTTGGACATTAAAGAAATGTGGCAAATTGAATTTGTGTTTCACTTGTGAAGTACATGAGGCATCCCAAGAACAAGCATTACAGCAGACTTTACTGATATACAAAAGTTTATTAGTAATATGGTAACAAATCCAAAATGGTGTTGATTCACATGAGACTTAAGTCATAGAGGCAAGGCCTTGACAACTCTTAAACAATTACTTGAAAATAGAGGAACACTATTCCACTAATCTGTCTTTTACATTCAATTTTTTTTTTATGGACGGTGTGTTAATTAATAGAATATCTTATGTAATTATTACCGGATGCTCCAGCATCAGACTTTTTATCACAAGTAGTGGGAGCTATTTTGACTCAACAAACCAAAAGGATCAAATTGTTCTACAGAACTTTGATACATATATCAATCTAACAGAAAGGTTCCAATAAATTAAAATTTGTTTTTTCTCAAAGTACAAAAAAGGAAAACAAGAAATGCAAATAGCAACCAGTGATTGCAGGTTTCGGCACATCATTGGCACAATCTGCAGGGTATAATTACCTCTGCTGACAGGTAACATTTCTTTGCAAGAAGTGACAGGGGGCTTACTTTGAATCTCAACTATTAATGCTGTGAAGTAAAGCACAAATAACTCAGCACCACACTTCCCCAACTGTCGTCTCTTAAAAACAAAATAAAAAACAATCTAGAGTTTATGTAACAAATTAATTAACTTAAAATATCTACTACAATTCTTTTGTTATCGCTTTGTAGTGACTAGCCTCAGTTGGTACAAGTACGCTCCTCACCACCAGTCAGTCAGTCAGTTAACTGACTCTACCACAGTGGACGGAATTTGAAGAACATTTTCACGTTTTATGAGGGCATGACTTACATATTACGCAAGTATTACTAGGATTTAGAGAGCATACAGACTGTAACTCTCTTTTCAGATAGAGGTGCAGATTGACCCAGACTCCTCTGCACACAAAAGGTTTGATCCTTATGACTTTGTGAGCAATGGGGACAAGGAGATCATTGGACTGACTGTCACGCATAAAATTCTAGCCTTATTAATACAGTAGTTACACAAAACACTACAATACACACAACATAAAAAACGCTACCTCACAATGACATAGTGCACCTTCTCTAACATCTATGGAAGGTGAGAACGAAATCTAAATAAGCTGCAATTTGGTTTTATAGCAATCACAGGCAACTCATCAGAGTTTTGGTGTTTGACCTACACAGTTCAGAATAATAATGGATGTCCTTGGTTCAGCCTTAGGATGGGCTTGACCCGAGGAGTTTGGCTGAGCGAGACGCAGTGAGGGGGAATAAAAAAGGAAAAAAGGGGGGAGGGTCAGGATGAGGCACGGAGATACAGCTAGACCGTCAGGTCCTCCCAGTCTTCCTTCTGGCGTTCGCTGAGGAGGACTCGGGGCGCTTCCACGGCCTTGAGGGCGTCGCGGACCTCGGGCAGGACGGGGTTGTCGGTGAGGTCCACCTCGACGAGCGACGGCGCTTCCCGTAACCGCTCCACTTCCACCTCTGTCGGAAAAGAACAAAAAGGACGGTGAAATAAAAAATTCTGAACAAAACAACAACCTTTTCTAATAGACAACAACATGCGCGGGGAATGCAACGCCGATCCGACGTCCCGCGCAAAAGCATTACCAACGTGACTCACCGATGATGCGGTTGTGGTTGGCGGTGAGGTTGGCCAGCTTGGGCATCTTGAAGGCGACCCTCGGCAGCGTGATGAAGGCGTTGTGGCTGATGTCAAGCGAGTGCAGCTCGGCCAGGTCGCACAGCTCGTCCGGCAGTTTGCTCATTTGGTTGTGGGACACGTTGAGCTCTGCAATGTTGGCAACGCGTTAGTACACAGTCAACAGCGGTGGTCCCGGCGGCGTCGCGGCGTCAGAAAGAGTCGAATGGGGCAGGATTCTGCATGTCTCTGAATTTGGGTCAAAGACAGCTGCAGGAGCAGACAGAGTCATGAGACATCCCGCTGGAGACAGTCTTGTATTGTTAACGACACCCCTGAGCACTGACACGTGATCTTATCCAGCCCCCTTAAGCCTCGTACAAAATGTGGCGGCGAGACGCAGCTCGCTTACCTGTGATAAGGCTGAATTTGACGGCAAACTTGGGAGGCAGCTTGGTGATGACGTTGCCGGAGAGGTTGCAGGTGGTGAGGGCGGTGTGTCGCATCAAGTGGTACACGGCGTCGGGCACTTGCACCAGCTGGCACTCGGACAAGTCTGCAACAGCAGCAAGCAACGGCACGGTCAAGTGGAAGTGCGGACAAGGCTTCCCATCATTACCCCCGCGTATCTTCCCCCGAGACTGTGAGAGAAAAAAATGGGTCGGAAAGGAATTCCCATTTGACCGGAAGTCCTCCCACGCTAGACACTACCACCCCGATAGTGCCCTCGGGGTTAGGTTGATGACGCAACCTGACCCCCCTCCTTTCCCCCCTGACCCGCCGGAGATGCTGGTTATCCCCAGAAGTCATCCAGCGGCCCGCGGCCGAAAAAGTGAAGGATTCGTCTGAAAGGCGACGCCCTGACGACGCCCGTCCGTCTGCCGGCTGTGCAGCTCGGCGTTGCGGCGCTGGTGTTGCGCAGGTCGGGGACGGGGCGCCGGCAGCGGCGGAAGCGCTTCAGACCGAAAGTCGTTTTCGTCGCTCTGTCTCTCTCGCACTACATGGGAGACAGAGCGACCAAATCGAACCTCGGAATCAGTCTGCTGGCCGAAGCCTGCGAAGCACTGCCAAGCACTGCCAAGCCGCGCGAGGACGAAGCGACTTGCTTGAAAAATGGATTCCCGGCACCGAATTGCGGCAAATGCTGCGACGGAGGCTGCGCAAGCCGCGCAAATGGCGAAGCCAGCGCGCTTGCTTCCATCGCACTCACGGGGCGTCCCGTTAAGCGACGCAGTGCTGTTCGGCATCAGCCTACAGGCGGAGCGCGGAGCCGGCTAGCCCCGATTTCGCTCACCGCGCGATTACTTTACTCTGCACGTGTGTGTGTGTTTTCGCCAGCGAGACGCGATACTGCAGTCGTTGCATTGCCGTCAGTAACTGTGCGCGTATCGCCTGGTTGCGCAAGCGAAGGGCCGGACTGCCTGGGTACTCCGGACGGCCCTAGACAGCGAGGCGACGCACTTGCACCGCGGCCAGGCCAGGCCGAGCCAGGCCGAGCGCGGAAGTACGTTTTCTGCGCTAACGGCCGCCGAAGCAGCGCGATAATGCGAGCCTTGGGCGCGGCACGGCGATACGGCGGCACGGCGGCGGCGGGATTCGAACCATCGAACCCGTGGTGCGTCGCCGCACCGCAGCTTCCTTAGTCGCCTCCTTAGTCGAGTCGAGTCAACTTGTGCGCTTTCTTGCCTCTCTCAGCGCGGGTTGCCTAACGCACGTCTCACGGCCCAGAGTTTTCGACGCTGTCTCTCTCGCACTCATGGGGCGTCCCGTGTAGGAGGTGCTAGAGAGAGAGAGAGAGAGAGAGAGAGAGAGAGAGAGAGAAGAGAGAGAGAGAGAGAGAGAGAGAGAGAGAGAGAGAGACACCGCGACGAAAACGACTCCCGGCAGAGACACATTGACACCGAGAGGTTCGCCGTGTCGTCCGGCAATCTCTCTGCGACGAGTCTTAAGCGTCCCGGCAGAGACATGGCCCGGTGGCCTACCCCCATAGGCGCTGTGATGCAACACTGCAAGGCTGCAACGCGGGAATGCCCGGCGGCTCGGCGGCCCGACGGCCCGCTGGGGAAGGCACTGGGAGGCACGAGGAAGGGAGGAAGAGGAAGCAGTGACACGCGATGGGATGGGCCTTGCCGCCGTGCCGCCGTGCCGCCCCCGTTCTCCCGCTAGAGCTCTCGTTCTCGCTCTCGCTCTCGTTAGAGCTCTCGTTAGTCCGACACGATGCCGCCGCGATAGCGCCGCCCCGTCCGGCATCCCTCAAAACGGAAGGCGGAATCCACTTTTCGCCATTTTCCTTCCTCCCTATCTTTTTTGGCTTACTGGAAGGGGGAGGAAGTAAATTGCACCCTCCCCCCTCCCCCGCTCTCTAGATAGCCGACCGAAAGGTAGGCAAAAAGCAACGCTTTCCCGCTCTAAGTAGGCAGACAGTGGTGCCCCCCCCCCCCCCCGGGCCACCTCTGGACCCGCCACTGGGCAGACGGGGCCTCCGCTGCCTTAGTGCCTTGCCCGAGGGGCGCGCGGCGTGTTGTAGTGTCGGCGAGTGTCGGTCCGATTCAGGTTCGGGAGCCGAGCCGAGAGAGTGTGAGTTACGAAAATTGTGACCCACATTCATTCGGAACGGTAGTGGTTGGTCGGGTCGGGCGGCCCCTGGAGCCCTGGAACCAACTGGGAATGCGAGTAGTGAGTAAGTGACTGTGAATGAATGAATGAATGAATGAATGAATGAATGAATGAATGAATGAATGAATGAATGAATGAATGAATGAATGAATGAATGAATGAATGAATGAATGAATGAATGAATGAATGAATGAATGAATGCGGTGCCGAATGGCGCTTATTTGGCGTGCGGCGCGGCCCGCGTGAGGCCCCTTGGTGGCGAAATACGAGTGTCGCGATGGGCGAATGGCCGACTCGGTGCGTCGCATCACTATTAACCATTAACCGTCTCAGTCTTTAGGCCTTTAGGCCCCGCCGCGCTGCCATGCCGCTCCGCTTGCCTTTGTTCCGCTCCGCCTCGCCTTTGCGCCTTTGTCCGACTCGCCACTTCCGGCCCGATCAGCCGTGGCAGTCGTCCTGTCTGTCTGTCTGTCTGTCTGTCTGTCTGTCTGTCTGTCTGCGTCTGCCGTGCTTCTCCCGTGCTCGGGGCTGCAGGCGTGTGCACGTGCTGCTGTGCTCTGCTGCCGTGCTGCAGGGCGTGCTGCAGGGCGTGCTGCAGGGCGTGCTGCAGGGCGTGCTGCAGGGCGTGCTGCAGGGCGTGCTGCAGGGCGTGCTGCAGGGCGAGGGTGGCGTTGTGAAGGTCGTCGGGAGGTGTGCGGCAAGAGCAGTATCTGCAAGTCGGGAGCAGACGCACGCGCTCACGCCGCGGTCTTGCTTGTGTCGGGGCCGCTGCGGCGCCGCGGCTGACTTTTGTCCCCCCCCCCTCCCCGCCGCGGCCCTCACACGCTCTGATTCACGCTGGACGCCGCCGCGGCGCGGCAAGGTGGGCCTAGGTGGCCGCCGCGTCCCCGGCGACACAAAACAGAGCAAAGGCCCCGCCAGCGGCACAGTGGTGTCGGCAGAGACAAGGGCAGAGAAGCGGCCGGTACTCGAACCCGGGCCACCAACGCGGCTGGCTGCTGGTTCCTCGTTACGTCCCGGGCTCCAGGGGCGGCGCGTGCCGCGTGCCGCGTGCCGCGCACGCACGCCAGGCACGAGCCTTCCCTGTCGGCGGTGCGGTGCGGCTGGTGCGGCTGCCGGAGTGCCGAGTGTTTCACGAGCGGGCCGCGGGTAGTTAGCGGCAGCGTTTTGCAACGCGCCTTTGCAACAAGCTGGGCTGCCGGCCGAACGCGATGACCCTCCCCCCCTTTCGGTCGTTGTGACTGACTCACCCAAAGCGCCCGTGTCCGCCGCGTCCTGGCAGCGCAGCACCACTCGGGTGACCGCGTTCGCCATGCTCTCCGTCCGCCGCTTCCAGTGCCTCCAGGCGAAGCGCGAAGCCACAGGCTTTGCGCGCCGCGTCCTCCTCCTGTCCGTCCGTCCGTCCGCCTGTCTGTCTGTCCGTCCGCGCGGCGCCGCGACGCGCAGTCTCCCTCCGTCGCGGTGCTGCTGCGGGTCGGGCCGAGCGGCGGGCACTGCCGACGCCGACTCCCAGCCGGGCGGACGGACGGATCGGGGAGCTTCGGGCTGAGGCGGAGACGGCGGGGGCGGGAGGGGGAAGGGGAGGAGGCGCCGCGACGCACCTCGCGCTGGGACTCTGGGACTCTGGGACGCGGCGCGTGCGCCACGCCGCGGCCACCGCTACGCCGCTACAGCCTCGGCGGCGTCTTGGCGCGCGGTGCGCACCGCGTGCGCACTTGCCTTGCTGCCAAGCAGGACGCGCGCGCCGCGGACGGACGGACAGACAGGCATTGGCCGAGAAGGCAGACGCGGACGCCGGGCCTTGTTATTTCGCACACATGTTAATCTGAAACCCATTTTGGGGCGCCTCTATTTGGCCACGGCTCATCCGAGCCAAGCCCGGCCAAGCCGCAAAGCAGGAAGGCGATGACGACGTGCTTCGTGCTTGGACTGGCGGACGCGCCGACCGGGCCGCATGCCAGGGGCAGGCGTTTTCGTCGCCCTCGCCCTGTCCCTCTCGCACCCTCAGGTGACCAGCCTCCAGTGTGGACCCGCGGGTGGACCCGGACTGAGGGCCTCTAGGGTTGGGGTTGGGGGGGGGGGGGGGGGGGCACTGTGGCCCTCCACCGCACGTGCTCGAACCATAATAAAGTCGTGTCTCTAAAAAATGAAGTGCGGTGCGAGAGACACAGTGTGCTGGCTGCGCAGTGCGCTGTGCTATCTCTCGAGTGCCCGCCTGGCCGTCGGGCCGGCTGTCTGTCCCGGATAGACGCGTATCGGCAGCACTCAAGGCGCGCCGAAATTAGGACGCCTGCCAGCCGGGCCGGCGTCTGGGGTTTCATTTGTTTTTAAACTTCTCAACCTAGTTGGAAACTTTTGTTTCGCGGGGCACCTCTCATTTCGGAGTCGTTTCCTGTGGCAACGGCGGTGCGTCGCAAGTGGCGAGGCTCCGGCTTTGTGGGCCGTTTTCTCATTTCCCGCTGCTCCAGTCCTCCAGTGGCGTGGCGGGGCGGCCGGATCGGCGGCGCGCTTTTTGCGTTTTGCTCTGTGTCCAGCGGTTCTCACGGCGGCGGGGCGGCGGGGCGGCGAGGCGGCGGGGCGGTTGGCGCTCGGTGACGTCACGCTGCGGGACGCGGGACGCATTGTCTGGTATCGGCATGCGCCTCGGCGTGGCGCCGCCCAGGCTGCGCGGACCGCGCGGACCGCACTGCCGGTTCCCCGTTCGGCCCTTTTGCAGCCCTTCCTCGGACTTGGACTTTACGAGAGGACTGCAAATGCCCCTTGCCGCTATTCCCAGGGCACGACGGCGCATCGCAAAGTTCGCATCACACCGCTGAGTTGTTGTTGTTGTTGTTTTGCACGCTTTTCGTTCCGTGTCTTTCTTTCGACTGGACTGCCCTAGGAGTGCATGCAAGTGGTGCATTCGCGACTGACGCGTCTGAAGGTCGACTTGCTCCAGCG